CACCACGTGGAATCGAAGGGCGTTGGAGAAACTCTCGCCTACTTGGAATGGAAGGGGGCTGAGTACCTAAAGAAGATGGAATATCCAAGTAGGTCACCTGACCTGAATCCCCTCAATTACCCGGTTCGGGCGGAGTTCAATAGGGTGGTCTACGGTGGCGGAGAAATCGACTATCTCGCTGATCTCAGGCACCACATCGCGGTCGCGTGCCAGAATCTCTCGATGGCGCTCGTCCAGAAGGCTGTGGCGGAGTGTCATGATAGTATTTGAATTTATAAAGTGTAACTTATAGCGCCTCGAAAGTCAATGAAGAAAAGTGACTTTTTTGGCCCCCTGTATTTGTGAATAACCTTATAGACCTTTATCGACCTACCCAGGTCTCCATTCACAGTTCCATGGTAAGATTGGCGGACTTCCGTGGTGAGTCAGGAAGATTCCAGTAGTGAGGGAAGCAATGAGAACAGCAGCTGCACAAAGAGCACGATTGGGCATAGTGCCACTCAAAACGGCAGGGGTGCTGCGCGTTGACTCTATCTTCGAAGTCAACTCGTCGTGCGATAGCACGACTCTGGAGTAAGCCTCCACACCTGCAATTCCGAATAAGGATACGAGTCTCTTTCCGGTTTTGAGAGCAACACCGGTGCGTGATGCATATCAAGGAAACTGTCTGCTTTTCAAGCCATAGATCCATTCAATTCTATAAGTGTGGGAAGCGCAGCCAGCAGGAGAATCCGAATTCGAAGCAATCAGAGACAAACTGTTCACTCGTCTTTTTGGATCCTGGTCCTTGCAGTGCTCGGAAAGAATGGGTCCGGATCTACAGCATGTCACTTTATCGGGTCAAAAGTGCACAGGAATGGGGTTGGAGGGGAGTGATACTGGATGCCGCGTTCCCATACACCACCTGCGCTGCCGCAAGCGTGCGCCTAGCCGTAGTCAGACACGTTACCCGTCTGAGCTTTCTCACTTCTGGTTGTTCACTATCGTTGACCATCGCTGCGGGACTTTGGTATCCACGCAAGTGCTGTACCTAAAGCATAGCGCGGGCGCAGTACGGGGACGGCTTCCGGCTAGCTCTACCCTACACCCCATTCCCGTGCACTTTTCAGCGGAGGAAGTGGCTGACTTCTGCAGTTGCGGACTTATTAGTCTCGCACATGGCACGGTCCGGTCGGTGAGTGTACAGTTTGTCTTCAATACCTAGCAAAGAATTTAGTTTTGCAGGTAACTGTCGATTTCGATAAACTCCGAGTGGAGCGGAGGTAGACCAGTTGTAAATGGTGTCATTTACTTCACGGATGGTCTGGAAGTCGAATCTCAAATTGGCTGCGGCTTTATCCATTGAGATCTTCCATCCCTTCAGAGTCTGCGAATTAGGCAGACTTGCCAAAAACGCGTACTTGTCCACAGACTGTCGACCCTCCTCTCCCAAACAATTGTGAGAAGTAAGGTGTATCCCAAGTTCCATCGTGATTTATAATAGGTTTGGATTGAAAGAACCTGAAGCACATCTAGAAAGAACGAATGAGCGAAAGCTTTTTTCTTCAGACTCGTGATGTTAGAGTAAATATTGGTATCGAAGAAAGTCGAGAAATCTCTCAGGAAGAATTCCTGGTTTCCCGGAATCTCCAAGCAACTCATAAGCGGACTGGAACATATGATCTCACCCGTGCGACTATCATTCCATCTGTTCCTGTACATGTCTTCAGTGGCGGCTTTCGGAGCTACTTCTCTTGCATCAATTACAGTACACTGCTGGGTGGTCCTGGAAGTAAGTCCATGCAGACTTCCTCGAAGGTGCCTACAGAATTTTGAGAAACTCACGCGTTATAGATGGTCATGAAGTGTCCTCCACCAAGCCCTGCTGAGTGACTGTCCATCACTCCAATACAGAACAGTGCAGCAACAGAGGCATCGACGGCATTACCACCATGAAGTAGGACGTTCCTGAAAATGATGGTCCACAAAAGGGTTGCAAGCACAAGTTGTTGTAGTGTGAGAAGCTCACTAGCATGGAAAGGAAGGTGTAGCCAAACCAACATTGTGGTGGCTGCATCAACAGCATGAGAGCACGGTCACATCGCAGTCGCAAAATTTGGTAATGAAGATGAGGAGACACTACTCAGCGTTCTTGCTCTGGTTATTTGACGAATAAAATGATTTGTATAGGGAAAGTAGCTGAAAATATGGCTCCCTTGGATGCTGGTGCACGCTCGAAAAGTGCGCTAGTGTACAAGGAGTGCCAAAAAAGACACTTTTCTTCCTTAGCGTTCAAGGCGCTATAAGTTACCTTCATCAAACTCTGATTGGAAATTTCCACCACCATATTTCATCAGCGATATTGTATCAGTATTCAAGATACTCCGCGACAGATTTGTGGACGAGCACCACTGAGAGATTCTGCCATGCGACCGTGATTCGGTACCCGAGTTCAGCGAGATCGTTGATTTCTCCATCACTGTAGACCACCCACACTGTTTTGTGCTCGCCCGGATCGGTAAATGCAGGAGGTTTAGGCGAGGGGCCACGATGCGACTTATTCCGTCTTCTTCAGCCGCTACTCAACGCCCTCAATTCGTATGTGGCCACCCAATCCTGCTAGCAGCTACAAAGTTGATATTCTTCGCCTGTCGATGTAACCCGTCAGCTGCTCACCTTCAGTCCGGGGTCCACGAAGAAAATATCGGTCTTTCCATTCCAGGTACGTCCGGTCCATACCATCAACCCGCGCCTTGGCGACTGCGGTGAAGATGATGTCCTAGACCGTAGCGACGTTGACGGAGCTGCTCGATGATGGAGGTCTTCCAGATCGAGAGTACTGCTCTCCAGGTAGCTATCCATGGGTGACTCCATACTAGAAGTTTCGCAGCTGTTGGAGGTGACATGAATTCCGAAGGTCTTCTCCAGTGGACCGGCTGCATTTTGAATGACTTCATACTTCTGGTGCTACATGATGGGCGAGCAGCTGCCCTGCTTATCGAGGAACAGTCTTGGTATCTTCGCCGTGGGGCTACTCGTATCCACGTCCCCTCTGGTCTGCGGCTGCGGAAATCTTTGCTGACAGTGCTAACTCGGTCGGATGCCTTTTTTACTTGCCCCTCCACCATGTATAAGCTCAGATGAGCTGATTGCCGTTCGATACTTACGACCATATCTGCGTCTTCTTCTCTCTGTCAGGTCTGGTTTCTGTCATGTTACAGTTGAAAAAAATCATCATTATGAGTCTCAATCTTATTACCAGTTACTCTCACGCCTTCCACTGTTGCGTTCAACAGGTAGTCACGACTTGATGTTGAGATGACTTCATATTTTGGTGTACATGAAGGTGATGGGCGAGAGCCAGCTCCTGCTTATCGAGGAACATCTTGGGTATCTTTCGCCCTGGTACTCGTATCCACGTCCTCTGTCTGGGCTGCGAAAACTTTGCTGATATGTAACTCGAAGTGTCTTTTTTTGGCTCCCCCCCCCCCCTCTGTTATTGCCGAACATACGCTAATGGAAGCCATTGAACGCAACCTCACCCACTTGTTTCGAGTGGCGAAAAAGTACGTGTTTTTTAGGTCATGGCTTTTCCCCTATACCAAAGAAATGTTTCACTCATCAGCGGACGGAAACGAGAAAGCGAGAAAGCTAAGTGATGCCTTTTCATCTTTATTTTTTTGTTTGATTTGAAGCGCCTTTGAAGCGGTCCAAGGATTGATCACGGGAGAATTAAGGGAGCATCCATCATATCAAATGATGACCAAAATAAACAAAACCTTATTGGTAAACACACCTCCCAATTTCAGAACAGTACTCGTTATCAGCTGCGACGGCAGCTCGAGAGTATTTACCCAGTGGACTGATCGATGGTTTCGGCCACTTTGGCAGTCGAGCCGAATCCTAGGTGAAAAATGGCCATGCAGAAAGTGCGTCATGTCGGAGATTTACCTTTCCGAGGAGCTGATAGTACAAACCAGCGAATGCAGCGGTCGAAATGAGAAGAGCGAGGAGAACCAACGTCATAACGAAGGTGCACATAATCCCATGTGCAGTTTTATGTTCCACCGCTGCAAGCAGAGGGGCCTCCTCATCGGGAGGAGAATCTTCTGACGGTCTGAAAGAGTAGGATGAGTATGGAGAATTAGGAAACAATTCATCAGGAATAGTCTGCTTTTGCAACTGATTTTCTAGGAGTCCTCAGTACTTTTCGTTTTGCAGTTTCAGCATGTTGCTTGTTTTGAATAGTCCGATAAGCTCTTGCCGATTTTGAGAACCTTGACTATGCCAACTGCTAGCAATGATCAGCTTCGAGGATGGGGGCATCTGCGCACACTCCCGCCGGGCAATGATTCGATCGCTATGGTACTCAATGTTGATGGGGTGTTTAGCGTGTGTTAGAGCGACGAGGCGTTGCAAGATGACTGACAAGGGAAAACCAGCAGGTCGATCAGGCCATTTGCAATGAGATGTATGTGGACGTGTCTTGAGCCGCTGAATTCGAAATCTGCCCTCGGATTTGCGGAACGATTCTCTGAAGGGAGTTACGGACCATTCATTCTCTGCTGTGTTCGCACAAGTTCGGAGCTAAAACTGATTGCGGCAAGCTGCGAAGGTGTGGTGGATAAGCGTACTGCTTCCAAGTTCAGATTTTGTAATACTTGACTCTTGGAAGATTTTGC